GAAGAATTCCGATTCGCCTAAAATGTAGATCAAAATTTTAAAATGAGTTAAAACTTTCTTAATATGAAACAGTGGGGAGGAATTTTCTTTGGCTGCCGAAACTTTTTCCGGCGTGTAGTTTAAATTATGCAACAAGTTATTATTTTAATTTAAGATGCAAACTAACTTGGTTAGAACGGATTTTGTTCTCATTCTTAAGTTGCGTATTCATTACATTATTTTGTGGAAATAATTGAGATGTACAAGTTTTAATTTTAAGTTTAATATTGTTTTTAAGATTTGTAAATATTATACGTTATTTGTTGGATTTGAATTGCGTTTTAAATTTTAACTTACGCACTTGTTCATCCTTTGATCGTACGTTGAGATAATAATATTTCTACTATTTAATTCTATTCTTTGTTGTGACATCTTTACTGTAAGTAAATATCAAGACAAATAGTAAAAGTAGCAAAACACTCTATTGTAATGTATAAGATAAATAAAAACTGAAAACAATGTAATAGTGGTAATAATAAAGTCGTTGTTAAACGCTTTAAGAGTTTGAAAGGATCTAAATGAGCGGATAAAATAATTGCGGCCGTGAGAAACTTTCCCATCTGCGGATAATAAGAAGCTTGGTTTATTTGCGAAATATTTGAACCTTAAATAATTTAACCGTTAATTCGTTGATCGTCGAATCTTACTTCTTACTAATCTTACTAATCTTACTAATCTTACTAATATTATAAATATGGATGGATGTTTGTTAGAGTTTGCAGTCTAAACGGCTGACAGGATCTCGGTAAAATTTGGCATAGACGTAGAGAATACTCTGGAAGTAAATACATAGGCTACTCACTATAGTTTTTTTTTTAATATCACGCGGACGGAGTCGCGCTCAAAAGCTAGTTTATTTATAAAACGCTTTCTAACATTGTTTCACGTTTCACAATGGATACGTTTTTTACGAATCATTTGCGTTGTTAATTAACCGTGCTACGCGGTCTAATGATAAAGAGAAGTAACAACACACCAGAAATATATGCAACCTTTTTTCTAAAACATTTAATCTTAATATATGTTAAACACATTTAAATAAAGTTATGGTACTATTTTTTACCTAAAGAAATGAAATGTTTGATTGTATGGACTCAATAGTTCCAGTTAGCGTTCACACTGTGCCAGTTGATTGACGGTTGAGTTTTTAAACGCTACTGACCGACTGTACTGGGCAAGTATGAACCGCGCAGAACTGTACTGTTTGGAGCAAATTTGTATTAAAATAGCTTCCTTTTTTTAATTAGGTATTTGCTGTGTCTTGTTTTTTAATCTTAAAAGCCTTATATATTAAGAAAGTTGTTAATTTTTATCAAACAGTTATCTCTATCCAGGGTTTTAACGCATTTTGATTGCGTAGAATATCTTACACGTTTGTAAGAACTAACGAAAATCATTGTATAAACACATAAACCACAAACATAGAAGTAAAACCGTTTAACTGAAGTGTAGGTAAATTTAACCTCGAACACGCGTTGAATCGTTCAACATCTATCCTTTGAATTGCTTGTTTGAGTGTTGGGCTTGTTTCGAGCTGTGATCGTAGCACGGTTGACATTCGATGGACATTACACGTCACTCGGAACGACCGTCGCAATTTTGATCACTAATGCGGTCAACGGACCTGTATAGAGGCGCGTTTGAACGTAATCATTAGTGCGATGTGTGCGGTCGGGACACTGGCGAAATCTGTTAACAATTCCACCCGCGTAGTAATTGTCATGAAAATCATCCATAGAGGAATAACGTTGTACGGCGATAATGGAAAGCAATTTGCCTTTCAATGCTTTTACTGGACGTAATATTAATTAAAACATCAATTTAGTTTTAATAGTAATATTTTAATATAGATTGAGTTTACTTTAGAGCCATATATCTATAACACGATTGTTAACCGCATAGTTTTATTATGTTCTATTTTTTTATAACTATCTAAAAGTTTGTGTTACGTATTCTTATTATTAATTTCGACTTGTGAAAGTATTGTTTGTTATACTTAGTCGGTAACAATAGAAATGTTTACGGCGTCTGCAACGTATGCAACATTTCGCTGGGAAAGTCACGAAACTAGCTTCGTTAGACTTTAAGGCGGCGAACGCGGGCATATTTAAACTAGATATGTAAAGTTTCCACGGCGTAATGAGAAACTTCCAGCTGCCACGGGAAGAAATGTCTGATAAAATATTTCTTTCTGACAACTTGAGCGTATTAACTCATTAGTTAACACTACTTTAAGTTGTAAAGTAGCTCCTATTAACTTTACTAACTTAATTGCTTATGAATATAGTGTATTGTGTAAGTGTAAGGTATTCGTATATTTAGGCTGTAACGTAGGTAGAATGATAAAGACGGGTGAAAGATGAATTTAATTAATCAAACGTAAATTGTGACAATTCGAAGATACCTAGATTAATAATAGAGGATGGCCGAGGCTTATGGACTTAAGTTTATACTTTACTAGCTTTCGCCTACGACTCCGCCCGCATGGAGTTAAAGAAACAAAACTGAGTGTCCTAAGTATTCTCCAGACTATCCTTTTTGTCTATGCCAAATTTCATGGAGATCTGTTCAATCGTTTGGGCTACAAGCTTTCACAAACATCTATTCATCTATCCAACTAAGGTTTCTCGTTTATGATATTAGTAAGACTAAGATTTATTTCTTCAAGTTTAAGGATAATTACTTATATTAATAGTTGTTAATTAATGTAGATGTCTGAAATACTCGTACAAAGAACATATAAATTATTTAATTCGAGAAGTTTCTTGGACTACAGGGTTTAGAAAAGGGTTGTCCATTGCTGTAGGGCACGTACTAAATTTGAACTTTACAAGTTAATGGTTCATAGTGGAAATGAATTAGGTTTTACGGTTGAGGGTGGAAATTTAATTAGTATTCTCTTCTAAATAGACATGCATTTAGTAGCAAATTAAAATAAACCTATTTTCTCTTTAAATTTTTCGATTGCCATCTTTTGATGAAGAATATCTAAGACCATCTGAGAGCGTCGGTGGCTCAGTGGTTTAAACACTTGACTTGTAAACTACAAGTCTTGTGTTCGAATCCCGTCATGTACCAATGTAATTTTAGATTTTTCGAATTTTCATATGTACACAATTTACCCGACGTTCTTACGGTGAAGGAAAGCATCGTGATGCAACCTGCACATATCGGTGAAGATATGTGTGAAGTCAACCAACTCGCACTGGGCCAGTGTGGTTGTCTATGGCCTAGTCACCCCTTAATTAGGGGAGGCTCCGAGCCCCTCGGTGGGGACGTATAGTGAGCTGGTTATGATGATCTAAGACCATCATTTGCACCATATTATGAAAACCTTTAAGCCACATCAAAGGTTTGCTGTGGTTATTTGAAGAGCTCCCCTGACTGGAGTGAATCAATATCTTAAGATCTCAACCTCAGACAAGATCTACACTAGCGCTATTGTAGTTGCGGAAAACGAAACCCTTACAACCAACTAACCTGTAACTGAATGGAAGATGTACAAAAGAGTAAGTTAAGAACAAGCTTAACAGTATCCTTGACTTGCAACCCTAGGGTTGCCTATAGACGGTCTGAGTGTTAGTTTTTGTTTTTTATTACAATACCTCAGACCTCTCCTACTTCATCCTATTCCCGTATGGTCAGCGTTTTCGTCCTCCAGCTAACTCTATCATTCGTCATCTCAGTCATCACTCCCTTTTTTGATCATGTCACCTTTTACACAATACATTCATCTCACTGTAGATCTACCTTTACCGGTGTACTCCACACTCTGATAACCTTTTTGTTAATAAAATGTTACAGTATCTCTAAAAACCTAATTTAATCAAGCAAAAGAGTATGAGTTATTCGTCTCATTAAGTATTAACGATCAATTGGCATGTTTTGAAGTGGAGGGGCGTTTGGCTCGGCGGTCCCTCGCGGGAAATCAACCGTCGACGTTCGACGCCTCTAGAGTGCATTAGTACAATACTTTACGAGCGAATGCCACTTTTACTGTCTATACTGACGCTTCGTGTTCCATCTGTCTATTCATCTATCCTTATTGATGAAAATATTGCGATTATAGAAAAATTGCGCACTAGTGAACATACATAAAAAAAAAACTATTTGATTTTTATATTGTAAAATATTTTAAATCAGCTAATAAGAGATTACCATTTTGATAAGGCCTTCCCATAGTGTAGATTATAATCTATGCTTAATAATTAAATTACTCTTACTACGTTAGTTTTTTTATTATTTTTGGGAATAAGAATTTGAAGTTATGTAATCAGAAACATAGACAAGTTAACACGTATGTACGCGGTATGTAGGTTTATGAGGAACGTAGTCAATAAATGCATCTATAATGAGGTTAGTGCAATGGGATCTGAGCAGATTAGATTCGGAATTGGAAATTGATCAGATGAACGGATAATTAATTTTAGGCGGTATACCAATCGTCAACCGTAAACCGAGTACTGTTCCTAGTTACAATCAACACTTATAGATGTAACTACCTATGTTATTACAAAACAAATAATTAGAGTTTAAATACTTTAATTTTAATATTACATATAGCGTTAGATAAAGTAAATATTTAAATATTGAATTATTTGTATATTACACGCTGTATTTATGATGATTAAAAAACCATAAATACTCGTATCATAAAGAATTTCCTAATCCAGTTTATTAGGTATTAAAGTTTATTTCTGGTGTAGAAAGTGAGAAATTTATGTGACGATGGAACCTTGTTCCAGTCCAAACTCCTAACCATAAACAAACTCTATTATTATTATCCTAAAACTGGTAAATACATTAGCTACTCTTACTTAAGAATAGTGATAATTTTTTCTAACATTATGATTGAAAAAGTGGAACCCGGATGACCGCCATATACGGAATTTAAAATTGCTTAATGGATAGAAATAGGGCGTACACACTTAGTTTATACGGTATTGTATTGAGGTACTTACGTGGTGTATAATATCGGTAGCAGCATAGAAACTTTCGTGGGGGTCCGGTCGTCGCATCATGTAGGGTCGTGGAAACTCGTTCTCCTCGTAGATTTCTGATGAACAAATACATACATTATTATCTTTAGAAATCATGCTAATATTATAAATGCGAAAGTTTAGATCGATGGATGTTTGTTAGAGTTTGTAGCCTAAACGGCTGTACGGATCTCGATGAAATCTGGTATAGATATAGAGTATAGTCTGGTAGAACACATAGGCTACTTATGTTTTTATTTCACGCGCACGGAGTCGCGGGCATAAGCTAGTTATTTATAATATTAAAATATTTGTTCGTAATCGTATCGTAAAATGGTGTCTTGAATATATTGAAAGAAGCATAACTTTAAAAAGTTTTCCTAACTATTTTCTAAAATACTACTAGACGGGCCATTATCCTGCGCCGAGGGCGCATCATCTTTTCAATATGGCGCCTGAACAATGGCCGCCTTCCCGACCGGACTTCCGGCCGCCGTAACGAGCACACCCTATCTTACAGTTTTCTTTACAATGTTATCTAATGTCCGTATTCAATAATTTAAGGTGCGTTTGTTGAATTAGCGCTGAATTCTTAAACACGGTACCTTTTGAAGTGGTTTTCTTTTCAAAATAACATTGCTCTCTTAAGCATTTTACTATGCTTAAAACTGAATATGAATTTTTACCATACAATGAAAAAAGAAAAATTATCAAGACCTGTTTGTGAAAAATATATTCTTCGATGGTTCAATACTGACACCGCATTGCAGGTGTTGAAGTTATTCCGCCAAATTAAAGCTAAACATTTTAACCCATATTCTGAGTAACATCAAATTTACTGTTAAAATATCTGCCGCTCGGCTCCATTCATTGAACAAAAGATTTGGAATAAGAAATCTTAAAAGATTTCTTGATTCATCTCCGTTCTTTAGGATACTTTAATTTAGCGCTTTCCTTTCAAAATTCTGAGTATTGTTTCGTTTTCATCAGTAGACAGTAATAGTTTGAAAGATGGTATGAAAGTAAAGAAGGTATACAGTATATTTTTGTAGACAAACATTTTAAAAATCAATATTCTAGATGTGGTAATTAATTTATTAAAAAAGGAAATTTTTCACTGTATTTCAGTTAAATTTGCCTTCCTGTTGACGTTTTAATAATTAGTCATGAAATAATGCATTAAGAAGACAACGTCAGGGTAATTTCTCTCCGAGGTAGCAGCTGCACAGACCATGGAAAATAAACTGAGTACGTCATAAAATAAGTTCGTTGCCTACAAAATGGGCCGATTAGCGCACTCACGTCATTAATTAAGTTGACTAAGCCTCGGTACAGCCACTCCGACCCCACCTGATATTAATAAAATAAAATGGACCCGCCCGTTCTGTTTACGGAGGTAATGCTCCAAATATTAAAAGATGAAACGCGCGGAACAATTAGCCTGTTCAAAATTAAAATTCATCTTCGTAAATTAATCACGCGCCTATGTGCTGTGTTTTGTTATAATTATTTTTTTAATTAATATAAAAGGCTCTTTGAAAGTTGTTCAAAGAACATTTTTTGATAACAAAAAAAGAATTATCTTAACCTGAAAAAGCTTTAGAAAATTCCAAATGTGTAATGTTAATTATTTGCAATATAACCAGGTAGGGTACCTGGTTATATTGCAAATAATAAAGTTTATTAATTCTATTTTATAGACACTTTCATTCTATTATCATTAACATACCATCAAAAATGTGAGGTTAAAATAATTTTAAAACTATATTAAAATGATTACAAGTCTAGAATAGCAGGCCATGGAATACTTGAAAATATTTTCAAAGTTTCGATTTGCTTTCGCGACCTTAGTAAGTGCTTACGCGGCAACAAATTCCTAGTGTAAAGTAACAAACTGGGGCCAAGTGCGGGGCACTAGAAAACCTAACGAGTGCAGCCGAGGGGCGGTGAAGTGTTTAGCGGGCTAAGTAGCGTCGCTCCTAACCGCTCGAAAAGATCGCAAAGACGTCTCGGTCCGGGATTAAAGTGGGATTTTCAATTTGTAAATAACCTAACGTTGATTAGTTCAGGAAATTGCTTAAACTTACCTTACTTTAAAGTCTATTTTTAAAGTTTCATCCCGTTTACTTTAATTTAAACTAAAATCCATTAACAGATTAAGAAATTACTTCATCTAATGAAAAGATTTTTTAAATAAAAAATCCATCAATAATAAAAAATAACTACTCAATGTGAAAATGTGTGCAAAATATCGTGTAACAGGAGCACTAATCAAAAGCTACAGCATACTAGATTACAATGAAAACAACTGCGGGCAGATTGTGCACTCACTGTACTGAACGAACACAAAACCGGGTACTTCCCGGGGCTTGTTTGCTGAGCAAAAAAATAGCCTCCAGTATGTTCATTTGTGAAGACATTGTTTACAATGCGAGGGGAGGTCATTTAGTTACACCCAAAGGCTATTTGAGAATTTTAAAATTTTTGGAGGTTATTTTTACAGTCCGAAAAAAACTTAATTAAACATCAAAAGGAAAAATACAAAGGACTGATACAGTAGGCTTCCTCGTATTAGACAATTAATTATAAGTAAGTGCTCCACAAAGACTTGATAAAACTCATAGAGAGTTAATGTTTTTGTAAGGTTTACATCTTGCGATATACCTTTTGTTACTTATATATTTCTATTAACCTATGACATATCTAAACCATTATTAAAAAGAGGAAAGATTTGTATTTTTGTATGTATTGCAATAAATCTAAAACTACTGGGCCGATTTCAAAAGTTCTTTTACCAATAGAAAGCTACGTTGGCAGTCAGTAACATAGGTTATGTTTTTTTTATTTTTTTAATTTCAAGCGGGCGAAATCTCGAGCAAATAGTGTTATACAGGAAGTGATAGAAAAATATAATATTTGAAATAGGGATCGTGAAATTCATTTCTATTTGGTAAAAAGAATCAAAGAAAAACGTTTCTTTTGCCATCTTTAATGGAAGAAATAAATGTATGTTCTGAATATAGTACATCGTTTACAATTAACACTACTTGGAACTAGAATTGTATCGTTAAGTTAATAATACGAGTAATAGAAATCTGTTATAACATATGCTGTTTTATAATAAAACGGTTAATTATTTCTACTATTAACTGCTTTTATTTAGTCGATTTAAAGTTTAAAATTTTCCGTTTCATCGATTATTCCATAAATGCGAATGCGGGTAGCGTATGGCTCTATTGATACAACCTTTGTGTGCTTTCCTACCCATTGTGTGGGCATGGTTGGAGGAAATTTTTTACTTCATTCTTGATTGTCCAGATTAATCGCGGTTGTGTGCAATATAAAGCTTGATTGTTTGAATTGAACTATACTTTAATTTCGTACCATTTTGTTGTACTCATTAATGAAATCTAAGAAGCGCAACTGTTAATCTGTACTTGATTACGATGTTTAGAGTTGGTAGATACATATGCAATTTTTTGTTGTTCTAGTATTGTTTGGCTAAACTATCCTTTCTTCTGTATTGGACGAAATTATACAGAGTGTGCTATATTAGTTTAATACGGAAATTCAATGTGATATTAGATTTCTATATCTTATTTAACATTATAAATGTGAAATTTTGGATGGATGGATGTTTGTTTGTTAGATTTTGTATCCTAAACAGCTGAATGAAATTCGATGAAATTTGGCGAAGATGTGAAGGATAGTCTGAAGGAACACATAGGCTACTTTTTTTAAAATTCCACGCGGACATAGTTGCGGGTTAAACCTAGTAAATTGTAAAACTTTTTTTAACTTACCGTTATACTCGTTCTGATCGGGAACGTAGCGTTTATCACGGTGTCCTAGTGTTTCTTTCCATATGTTGTACGGCTCGCGGTAGTCCTCGTCAACTATAGCCGGTCTGTGAACAAATATTATTATCAGAATAAGAAAAGTCATAGTTACAATTATGCGCAAGCGATTATGATCATCTTATAACAATGTAAATAGTTATAAGTGCGTGTTAACACGTTCACTGCAGCAAGTAAAATTATAATTGATTTAGTGCGGCGGTGGGCCAAAATGCACCCCCAACGATATTTCCGCCAGTGCGTGGCAGGTCTTTCTAGACCCACCATGTACCATGTTTTATGTAATGTATACACCTAAAATAATCGTTTTGCACATAGTTTAGACATAGTTTTCTTAGTCAGTACCAGCTTAATACCGCGTCAGGTCGATATCGGCCTGTTACGCAGTGAACGTGTCAAATCTCCTTGCCTTTTATATATCAGTTTATGACACCATGTTGGATTTCGAGGCATTTAACAAATAATTAAAATAGATATGTATTTGCAAGTGCCTATATTATTGCATACATGTTAAGATGGTTAAGTGAAGACTTTATTAAGGGGTCATTTTTATTGACCATTAATTTTCATGATTAATTGAACATTAGGAGTTAATAACAAATTAATTAGTTGGATGGAGATTTAACGGAATTCTGAACAACGTGGTAGAGATAAAAGTAGTTTGCGCGACATATTTTGTACACATAATTTATTTTTATAAAGGCCAAAGAACACACAATTAATATTATTAAAATTACTGAACATTAAAATAGATTCTTTAAAGGTAATGTTAACGTAGAATTGATCGATGTGTGTAGTTTGGAATTTATTTATTGTTACATACAATGATTACTCTGAGTTATAAAAAATTACACATTTATATATACGATGCATATTTGCTTAGAAGACACTTGCACAAATTATTAAATAGGTAAATATGGAGGTTAAAATTGAAAAAGTTCCAAATTAATCATTTTAAATGTCTGTATTTTATTATTCATTAAATGTACCTGGAATGAATCGCAATATAAAAATCAAAATTTTAATTGTCTTGTAGAATATGTTAGTATCTTTAATGCATTTGTTATGAACAAGGCTACGGATGAAAGTATAAACATTGGTTAGGATGCGATAGATCGACAGCTTCTAGATGAGACATTGTTGGTAGCTTTCCAACGTATTTACCGCGCAAAATGTTTTATTATGGAACTTTATAGAGCTGTTAATGTTACGCTATTGTAGATATTTATGAAGTTGTTGTTACAAATGTAAATAAAAAAATTGAACCTGAAAAAATTAAAAAACCGCTCAGTACAAGTGATGCAACTGCTCTGGTGCGATTCATATGTTATTTTAATGTTATGTATGTTTACTTACATTACCTCTTTGATATTTACAATATCTTTACAAAATATAAAATGTAAATCAAACATTATTTACCGTAACATGTGTATCGGAGGGCAGTTAGCTAGCGCCAGCGCAAGTCGCGGTGTTCGTCTATTATTTCTGGCAGAATTCCCATTTCTTAGCGACGGACAAAAAGGTTTTTTCATCAAGTTAGAAATCCTTCTTCTAACGCGTTTCGTGAGAAGGACCGCAGTTGTAGCAATGAATGCACCGCCACCAACAAGAGCGCCGCAAGCGATACCAACAGACGTTCGAGAAGTGTTGTTTCTTTTCTTTCTTGAAGCTGGTGGAATGTCTGTGCGATAGTATTCGTCTAGGTACTCAGTAGAAGAATTGAGGATAGTCGGTGCTGTGGACAAAAACATTTTTTTTAATTTAATAATAGTTACTAGTTATTTAATGTACTCTAAGAGAGAGCGCACACCTTTGAATGAACTATTGCAAAACTAATGCGCGATTGTCAATTGTCAATTGCCAATTCAACTGTTTAGTAGCACAGCTAAAAATGAAGTAGTTTGCGCACCTCCATATAAGCTCATAGGAATCGAAGCACGACTAAACAATTGGGGGATAGGTTAGTCAGAGGTGTGCGCGCACTAAATACTACATGATTTATCTTTAACACTGTCAAAGTGTTTTTGTAATCCCAACAAAACAATGTTGACTACAATTCTATTTGAAGGAGATATCTGGATGAACGTGTTAAAGAGATTACTGGCTGCGTAACTAAGGAGTAAGCGCTCGTGCGCGGTAAAGGAGTGTAAACCTTACATAAGAGTAAGACAATGGACATGAAATGAATAGGTGTCGAGCGCAAGGCTAATTGTCCCTAAACAATGGAACACGAGACCCGTTCAAAGTCAGACTGTTTTGTGTCTCCATCACTCAGTGCAAACCGTAAGCAATTTGATTTGTACCCATCTACTAACTTCCGTTGTTCACGTAACACAATTAGTTTACTTAAAATATACCTTGCAGGCTTTAAATTTTTAATTCGCGTTGTTCTTGTCCGTCCTATTACAGTTTGTTTACTTAATTAAATCTCGATTTATGTAAAGTGGTGACAAGAAAATGTTACGAATAGATTATTTTCCAAGTATACGTATAGACGTGTGGTAAATCTTTGTTATTATTGCATGTAATTTTTTTATAACGTAATAATATTTGGAGTTGGTTAATAAATTATGAAGTCAAATGTAATCCTAGACTAAAGAATGTCGGTCGAGTTTAAAGTAGTTATATTTTAAGCCGTGCATAAACTAAAGCTGGCGAAAGTCATATGTTACTGTGTCAAACTGTTAAAACTAGGTCTAAACCTAAACCGAGGTGTGAGCGTATGGCGGAGTGCCAGTATAATACTGAGTGGGTGCCAAGAGTCAGTTAATTCCGTGCTAATTTCTAATTGCGTTTAGGCAGACTCTTGCCTTGGGTCAACAGTGACTCGTCGATAGAATAAAATGTTTTGTTAGGTTTTAAAAGACGAATGGATCGGTTCATGAAATGCGTTTCTGAACTATGTAACTTGAGTGTTCCTGCGGTGAAACTTAGATCAACCTAACACTAATGAATCACTAAGTTACGACAAAATAAATGGAAACTTCAGCAACCCAGAATAAATGGTTAACTATACTCCATATTTTTCTGATGTTAAAAATCTAAGAAATCGTTTTTTGTAATTTGTTATGTCTTGTAAATTTCAATTGACTACAATTTTTATAATTGATTATTTTTTTATAACAACTTTTAAGTTCTTGACGAGGAAAATATTAAGAAAGGTAGGTTAATAACATTCATAATTCCTTTGGTAAATGAACCGGCGAAGAACTAAATCCTAGACGAGCGGCTAAGCCTCGAGGATTGGTGGGTCATCGTTGAGACAAGTTAAGTACAACTTAAGCAAGCTTAATAAACTTTGGATCAAAGATTACCTGACCTATATCTTTGTTGTTTGTTTTTGTAAATTATTAATTAGACTATTCTATTAAATAAAATTTCATAGTTTTTATAACATTGAAATATTTTTATGTATTCATTTATTCATATTAGGCTTTTCAACATAATTACATGATTTTATATTGATTTATTTCTTGTCTCAGTAATCTAGACAGATCTTCCTATTATTTGGTCTAAGTACTACGTAAGTACTAAATTTTCATTTTAAAGTCACAAACCAAGTCGAGAGAGAAAATTGATTATAAGTTTTTCGCATTTCCTACTCTGACATACGCGAGTAACATTTCTTGTTATTGAATTTCGATTTATGTTTAGTCACCTGAGAACGAAAAGTGTTCGGAAGTTTATATTGTCAAGTTTCCCTGATTGTATGATGAAAACTACTAGAGTTCGATAATTTTAAGATGTAAATACACTAAAGCATTTTAATGAATTTAATTAATTTTTAAAAGTATCATCTTACGTACTTTTTGTGTTTATAAACTAACTGTTGCCCGCGTCTTAATCTGCGCGGAATTAAAAAAAATAGTTTTATTAGTAGTTCTTTAGATACGTAGTAAGAATATATTCATCCAAACTTTCTTATTTTTGACCGACTTCCCAAAAGAAGGAGGTACTCATTTCGTCTGTATGTTTTTTTTTTTATTTCACACAGTTAGTAAGATTTTTTCTATAAACAAAAATCTTTAAAAAAAACAATAAACGTAGTTATTCCAAGAGTTTATTAAACGAATAATGTATAACGCAATACTCGCAGTGAGCAAGGAATGCGGTTTACACGACTGCGGCACAGCTTATGAGGGTTAATGAAGTAAATTCTATACCCAAGCGTACGGTTGCTTATGCGATTTGATATGTACAGTACAAATAATATTCTACGCTTTAGAATGTAAACGTATCATTTCTATTCCTATTGTTTTCGTTCATCTATACTATTATAATAAAGCGTAAACACACACTTCTTTCTTGCCTAAGATGTCAGCAATTACAGCATAGTTTTGAATAATTATTTTTGTAAAACAAGCCGTACACTTACGTCACGCTTTAGGCTATATGCTTTCACGCTATTAAACTTAGGGGGTAAATATCTTGACTTATGACTACTTGAATATTTGACGAAAAACGATCGTTTATCTAGCGCTTGAGACATGAAAATCCTCCTATTATCCAATGTTTCAAAGGAACTCGATAAAAAACTCGAATTATTAAGTTTCGAACAACTTTGAAAGTTAAAAGGATTATAAAATACTCGTGAAACGGCTACGTCGATAAGGCTAACGAAGTGCCAGCCAAGCGGGATGTTCAGAATTTGATTCCGGGCCAAGTGAAGCCAACTTCCTCCACGTGTTTAACAAGACTCGAGTTCCGTGGCTTATGTTTTTAGCTTAAGTTCGTTTCATACTTTTTAATAAGGTAAGTGAACGTTCCAAATTGATAATAACGATGGAAACTTTTCCCTTTTTATGCGGGGGAACAAAAAGCGACTTTTCTATAAGCGCTTGTATTTATACGAGGATTTCCTCGTTCCTCGAACAATGGCTCTGTTAAACTAAACAATACTGGTGTGTGTCACTTTGTGTGGAAAAATTATAACAGGAACAAAAAAAAATCAAACCTCCGACAGTGAAAAAGGAAACGTTTAGCTTTGGGCGTCTTTTACTTAGTCTGGGCGATTACACTGAGACGCGTAGGGTACCTACCTAGGTTTGTTAGTGTGGACTTGCGGGAAATGAAAATTTTTCCCAACATTAAAAAAAAATGAAAACGATTGGACAGAACGAGAATTGTCTCGTTGACTTAAAAATGTTCAGAAGTTTATTATTTGAAAGATCAACAAAAAAAAAATCTGTGTTAACGAAATTTCTTCAAATGTATTTAAGTAAGTTCTCTTCCGATATTTATGGTGAGTTACTTACTATTTTTTTTGTGTCAATTTTTAATTTTTTCAACAATAAGCAATCATTTTGATTCTTAACTTATAGGAGCATTTTCATGAACAGGGGAATATTTAAAAAATGTGAAATTAAAAAAAAAATAACACGTAGCGAACATGGAACCAATCTTCCGCTATGAGAGCACTAATTAACACTACAACTATAGGAGCAAACGTATAATAAAAAAAAAAAACGGAATTGTTTAAACTATGCTTTTGTAACTATTTACGAGAAAAATCAAATAAATGTAAATCGTTCTGTCCTCCAAGAGGAACATAAGTCAGATAAATGCAAAGCAATAGAATCGAATTCGTTCGAAGTTTATAAACGATTGCTATTAAAAGTGTGCAGGCAATTTTAGAATGGGACATTTTTTTGCACAGCGTGCACCATAAATGTGTCCAGGTATGTAGATCACTTGTATCATTAATTTTGCAGGGACCGAGGCCCGCGCAATTGGATAAATTACAAAAACACATCGCACAATAATTCACGTTCCATCGTTCGCGTAACATACAAAACGATAGATTTTATTTGTTTTTGTTCAACGTTCGCTATGTTTTTCTGTATCGCTATCGACACTTTTGAAGTTAAGGTTTCAAAAATGTAACATTCAACTGTTTTTATTAGCTGGTTTCGGTGTTTTATTGTTAGTTTGTTTAAAATAGTTAATTATTTAATTTAAACGACCTAACGACAATATTTTTTAAAGCTATTTATAATAAAAAAAATCGGCCAAGAATTTGTAAGCTATTTCTATAAAAACAAAAATACAAATCTTTACTCTTAATAATATTAATATAGATTTAAATTCGATTAAGATAATCATTTAGTTATAAGGACATTAGGAAATTAATATTTTGTTATTATAGCTGCAAGTAAAGTTATTTAGAAATCTTAGATGAATAAATTTATTTAATACTACATGTGCCCATACGGCTTCATCCGCATGATATTATAAAAAAATATTTGATTGTTTCCATTTATCAAATTCTCGATTGCAAATGTCAAAATAACAATTGCCTTACTATGGCAATCTTACTTCTTTGATGTTGGCAGTAGCTTATGGTCTCTTTCCCATGTTAGGGTTTTTATCCAATTTATTAACCTCCTAAGTTTAATAGCGTGAAGACATACAGTCTAAAGCGTGAAGTTAGTGTAGGGGTTTTTATTATAAAAAGGATTATTCAAAAATATGCTGTAATTGCTGACATCTTAAGCCACAAAGAAGTGTGTGTTTACGCTTTATTATATTAGTTTAGATGATTTTATTCTAGGGTAATGCTGGTTTTATATTAGAGTTACGTTCCATATTGTAGACTAAATATCGTAGTATTTGGGATTAGTTTTACTGTGGTATAGCGAGGTCACTCGGTGCAAGCTAAGCTGTATTATATTAGGCAGTACCAGCTGTGCCGTGTAAAAGCCCCACATATTGCACGGTTTCGTTGTAACGTTTTAATTTATTGCATTGTACACGTTTTTGTAGTTATAGTACAAGTTAAGTTAAGATCTAATAATAACAGTATTACAAAAGTTAAAACAACATTTAATAGGCGTTTATTTTGAAGTTACAATTCTTAAAAAGTAGAAATTTTGTTTTTCGACTGTAAACAGATTACATTCTAAAATTTAGAATTCACTTCTTGTAATAGTTAGTCGTTTAATTAAAATTTATCAGCATAATAAATTTCTAAATAAGATAACATAATCTCTTCATAAGACACTAACAGCTCCGAGAAACCATGTCTATATTCTAGTTTGTAGTATGCATCTGTGTAAGATGTCTGCGCCATGTGGCCGTCGCGTCGTATAGAGAGGGTGGTTTCATCTTCAAAGCGTTCCCGATATTAATTAGTCAGGATACATCTATCAGATCATAACGTTGGCGCGCCCCGACTCCAACGTCCCGACACGCAACCAAACAATAAGGAAAGGGGATTTATCAAGATCAAAGATTTGCTTTAGTAACGATTTCCTCATTTACCGCCAATCAATTTATCACTTATTAAAGGGCGATTTTTGCGTAAGGAGTGCCGGATTAATTAGAGAAAGATAAAATTTGTGAAATAGCTCGAAGGCTCTGTTCATTGTAGATAAGGTTCGATGAGGCGTAATGGATCTATTAATTTACCCCCAGGCCTCTGGTAATCCAATATTTCTGTTTTTTTTTTAACGAGAAAAAGTATCCAATCGTATTTATAAACATTCTTTATAAACTTTTTTAAAGTCCTACAATTTGTTACGAAGAATAATTTGCACGTGTAAAACATTTTGATTAGATAAACCGTTTCGGACTTCCTTCTACGGTTTCGGGATGTTTATTTCGGGAATTGAGTGCTGATTGGACCAGCGCGGAACGAGTTGGGAACGAATCTCAAATAAATTACCTTCAGTTAGATTGATTTATTATGAACGAAGCGAAATTAAATTTGCTTAATATTTTGCTTAAGAAGATTGTTCTTTACTTCCGTAATAGTTTAATTATTGGTACATAGTTGTTTGTCTTATTTTTTTTTTACGTGAAAATTATCGTAAATTCATGCTAAATTATTTAACTTTTATATTTTGTGACAGTTAACAGATAGTTGATATAAAAGTAGTCAAAGTTATGAAGTTTGTTTTGAGGAAATTGACAAGGCAGGGCGGTCTTCATATATTATTAACTAACTTCGAACAGTTTATTAAGATTGACAGCATCTCCGATACAGTTACAAAGTTCGATATTGAATAGTGGTCAATAGCATTAGATTAGAACTAAGAATAACTTACCCGACTTGAACGTGACTTCGCTGATTAGTATCCATTCATGTTGGAACTTGAACTTTAGCATGATATGCCTCGCGGTGCGGTTTTCCAAGTCGATATGGATAATACGCGCGTGTTCTGACACTCTGTCTTGCTTCGGTTCGTATGATATAAAATCCTCCTGCCAACGTTCGCCTTCAAGAGAGAAGTATACTTCTGCTTCTTTGAAGAGCTGCAAAAGAAACATAACATTGAAAATACGAACCAGTGTAGCCTAAGATTACAATAAACAGTTATTTTTTTTAAATAATCACGAGCTATCTGTAGCCTGTTATCTGTAAATCGAATGTTTTTCTATTAAATAAAGACCGTTTTTTAATCTTTAATTTCGTGGTAAATTGTACAAACATGTTGAAACAATAGCGATGCTATTTCGACCGCGCATCGAACATTTTAAAGTTACTAAAGAAACAAGATAAAACGGCAAAATGGAAAAATTTCACCGAGCTCAACATCCAACGTTTTGTTGTAACGGACTCGGATGAAAATTACTTCGGTAATAAAAACCCGAGCGAATGCAACATGCAGCCGCCCGCAGCGGTAACACTGTTCCCTGTTACGGTCGCTGCACTACCTAAAGTCTAAAATCACGTAGCGAATTCTTAAGCCAATATGTTTCGTTGCCTAGTCCACGAAATGTCGTTCCGCAAGCGAATAACGACCTTACGGTTTTTCTATCACGTAAAATAATATAACGTTGTTTCCTGTTAGAAATTTCCTTTAATAGAAATTCACTCTTGGTCAGGAAAGACCGAGAGAAATTTGGTACTAAAACGGGATGATAGATCTACCGGTATGACTAAAGAGAATGTACATAAAAAACGTATATTTTAGTCTAAGGTTTTTAACACATTTAAGACAAAAAAACAGTATCTTAGATAAATTGTAAAACATTACCTGTACGTCTTTGGTGAACATGTTGTTAGTGTGAATGTCCACAAAAAACATAATCCTGGTATCGCTGAAGTTGAACGTCAGGTTCACTTCGTCATCGATCAACATCGATTTATTCCATCCCACCCAGCGGGAGCCTGTAATATACCGCCAATGTCATCAAACGTTTCAAATGCACCTACTTTACATCTAATCCAACAAACAGAAAAATGTTTGCTAAATCCTTGATGATATTACCTGTAGTGTCATCAGGGTCTGGCAGTTCGAAGTCATTAGGGCCGGTGTAAGAATCTGTTATTTGCCCTAATCCATCAAACATTCGTCCGCCACGTATGACACCATCGTAAGACAAGTCTTCAAACTTGGCACCACCGGTCATAGACTGCATATCCCCGCCCTTAGGCGCAGAGTAGGCAATGATAGCCTCTGTAGAAACATAGAAATTATGAATAGGCCTCCAAGAGGCGGATTTCGCTCAGTATGCGCAAAGAATCAACAAACATTCGCTTTAAGAATTCGCATTGCTACGTCCCCGGGGCAACGCCAGCAATGGTCGCATTATCATTATAACACTTACGTTTCCAGAGACAGCCATACAATTCGACACGCATGCAAGCGGTCCTGGGATGATCAGCAAACGGCAGAAACCGCACTTTGGACGCTACGAACGGAGCCTCCAGTATAGATTTGTGCGGAGTATAGGTGTTTACGTTTCCGGGAATAAGCTGAAAATATTTTTTACGCTACAGTAAAATGTAAAAAATAATAACTTTAAATCTGTTCTAATAAGATTTAAAAGGACTATAAGATTGACTATTAACTGAGACGTGATTTGCGCGTAGTAACTATTTATGTTGTTCAAAGGAAATATTAATTATTTTAATTTATTGTAATTAAAGGGTACATTAATTTTTAGTATTGATAATCTGTGAGAGTTACGAATCGACGCAAGTTTCACGTTGCCCGACGCAACGGGACTAATTTTATATAGGGGAATCGTGTCCTCGTAACCCAAGCCAAGCTCCATAATCTTATGTTCTACAAATAGTAAGATAACCGCAGTATTGTGTATATATCTAAAATGCTATTACTAAACCTAGCTTGCTAGATTATGAAATTTAATTTATGTATGCTGATAAATTAGTATGCAACAATTCATGTGTATTACCGTTGAATTCCACTCACGTAACACCTTGTGTTAACATTAATATAAAACATAGATTACTATAGGTATGTATACAAATTTCACGGCAGTGGAACTTACGTCAGAAATACGTTACGGAACTTTTTGCTTCTGATTAACGCTTTGAGATTGTCAAGCTACTGGACGTTTTGACGCCCTTTTTGGGGGCGAAAACACGTTTGAGGGTGGCCGTTTGAAGTCGACTTTGTGTTTAAGTTGCATTAAGGTGGTTAGCTCTATCCTTTGATCTAGCAATACATCGTTGTGAAGTTGACATGTTAAAATTGCTATAATCGCTTAGTGAATTTGACAGCTGACAAGATCATCCTGTTATTAATCGCGGTGGAAATAATGCTTTTATCTTTACAGTTTGTTGCATGCAAGTGAGTGACGTAAAATTAATGGGCATTTCTAAGGGAGAATTTTGTAAGTTAACCAAATACAGTTGTGTATTGTTTATTATTGATACGTACTCGTAACATGTGCTTGTGAATATTGTTATAAATTTAAAAGTTAACCTGTTCCTACTAAATTAGAAAAATTGAAATTTAACTTATCTATACAATATGTAGGTGTGCAATGTTTTCATACTTACTCTGCTTCCGTTGAAGTCTTGATACTTGGCCCAGCGATTGAGCGAGTCTCGCCAGAACTCTAATGAGTAGCTCTCGACGAACTCCACCCCAATGGAGTTAGCAAATCTGCCTTGGGACTCAGTTGCTGTTATCAAGTATTCATCGTGTAAGTCTATTTCTAGGTATTGGTGGCTTCTCGAATTGATCAGGCCATTGGGGCACCACGCACCGCCCCGGATTTCGGTGCGAATCCTAAACAACAAACATAGATTGTATCAAAATTAAGTCGCTATGTCTTTAGATATCTAATTGGTCTATGAAAATAAAATAAAACAAATAACTAAATACTTAAATTTGATAACAACATGGCAATTTACATCGTCTATCTATCGGTTTACATTGTTTAATTAACAAAACCTGTTTTCAAAGTAACGTATAAACAGAGTTGAATTTAGAAAGTACGGTAATGGTCTAGTACTGCATTTGTCAACATGAATAGAGAAGGCGGTCGTAACATTAGAATATCTGTAGTGGAATCTCATCACAGGCGCGGCGCGATGGGCAACCTGCGCTAATCGCATAATTAAGGTGACTTTCTCTTAGTCCTTGGCCCAATAAACTGAAACGTATTTTGATAACAGTATTCGTCTCACTCTACTATATGTCTCACTCTTTAGTCAGTCAAGTCCCGAAAGGCTTTTGTTGGATCACAATCGCACTAGATTCGTATGAAAATTTAATTTTGCCGTTGCTGAATTTCACAAACGAGCGCCGAGTTTGCCCTCCATTGTTTCGTATCAGGCTTATGCGGGCTTAAGACACGAATGTGAAACCCCTTGTTAATTGTTTGAGCTAAGTATCAGCGCTGTGGTTGTCGGATTCACAATTATTGTAACAACTTGCCCATATCAGAACACTTAATTGTTGTTTAACAATGGTCGAGTTTAACTTATTTTGCGAAGCTACATTAGCTTGTTAATTCGGCATGTAACATGTTCTTTTAATATAATTAAAATAGAAACGTATCTTGAATGATTTCCTAATTTTACGTTGGTACAATGAACGATGAGGTTAAAAACTTTAATGCATAAAAAAATCAAATACGTCTGTACTTTAATTGGTATTTTTTTTTTTATATAACAAAGGTGGCAAACGAGCAAGCGGCCACCTGAATCCGCCAAAATGGCGAAGCGACCGCTGCCCATAGACATCCGCAATTGCAGATACGTTGCCTACCCTTATCCGACGGAGGAGGAGACGCACATAAAAAGGATATTTCCCCTTCCTATGCATATCCTCCACCGTCAAATCCACTTCCTCTTCCCATCCTCTTCTTGTGAGAAAAGGGTGGTAAAGAGAAAGGGACTAAAATTAGGCCTCCGGCACCACACTCATCAGACGAAACACGGAATTGCTTCCATTTCACGCCTGTCTTCTGTGTGGTCGTGGTATTACACCGGGCGTGCCGGCCTATTCGTGCTAAGGTGTTAAAGCGGGCACTACCACTGTTATCACATCCGAGATGTAAATTAGAATAAATTACGCAATTTTCATTAAAATAAAAATAAGCATTAACACTTATATATGTAAGTATTAGTAAAAATTAAGGCTTACCTTGAACTGATCGGGGACACGCTTTGGTCATAACTGGAACTGGCGGAGAGGGATTCATTAGAAATCATCCCGCTCTGCATGCCCAGTGGCACTTCACATCTCCCGATGTCAGCTGTAAACAAATTAAAACATGTTAACTTTTATGTATATATACATATAAATGTTAAAATTTCGCTATTTATTTAAAAATTGCTGACGTCTGCGACTTTGTCCGGTTGGAATAAAAAAAATTGTAACATATTCCACTGTAATCTACTTCCGTTAATTTTCATCTAAATTTTGTTAGCAATTGTGAAGTAAAGTCAACGATCATTTTTCTAAAAGATAGATTTATGTTATATTCTGCTATTTCTTTGTGCTAGGGGTAAACACTTTTCTTTGTTACTTCAGTTATTTTTGATCATGTCAATATTATTAAAATACGTACGAAATAACAAATACATTACGATAACCTTATTATAATTGCCTATTTCAATTATATTGTATCGCTTATTGTGGCTTGTTTTTCTTTAATTAGCGCATGTTGTGTGTTATCCGTGTACCCCGCAGGGGAATCCCAAACAAGCACAGCAATTTGCGAATTTCGAAAATTTGCTATTGATATTAAAGGAATTTTGGGTTTTGAAATATACTTAGGTAAAGTCTAAAACTAAGTAAATAAAAGTAATAAATTTCAATAAAGTTCTTTGAATTTTAAATAGATTTGTTCAAACATCATTAACAGGTAGTGAAAAAGCATTTGAAGATTTTAACTTGGAAGTTTAATATTTAAGAATACTGAATAGAACTGTGTTCATTCCAGTAAAAATAGTATCTAATCAATCTATACTTATAGAAGTTACTGTGGATTTCGACCATGGCCTTTCTTTTCACACATTATCCCTCACAAATTTCATGAGAAAAACGGGACATCATTACGTTAATGTCCGTTACATATACGAAACTCTTACACTGTAGAAGTTTATCACTTGCATACATATTAACAAGTAGCTTAAAAAAGTGTTCAATCAAAGTTTGTCCGCGAAAGTAGAAATACTGACTAATATTTATATCCTATCAGACTGCCTCAATACTAATCTTCAAGTCGATGCCTATTTAAAATAATCAAGCAAGATAAAGTTAAGAGAAATGTTTCTACATGACAGAATTTACAGACAAGGCTGTCTTAAATGTACTAACGTAGGTTTTTTAATGACAATGCGTTTGTTTTCCTACGAAAGAAAGATTCTAAAACATCAGAGGAGGTACTTTAATTTATTTTTCGTTATAAAAAACGTACAAAGATTATAACGTTTTTATATCTTCTGAATATCTAACATCGCGAATTATGTACTCGAAATATAAATATCCATCTGATTTCAATAAAATGTTTTAATTCCCAATTAGGCGGTTGCGTGTACGCCGCAGGGTACGTACCAACAAAGGGAGTGAAACTTATTAATATTGGTTTGTGTGTGACACGGTTACGAAGGGCGGAGGTATGAAGCGAGCTCGAAATTTTGTTTGTTTTCCTGCTTTTTAATAAAACGTAAGTACAATCCGCCGCGTCGGTAACACAAAGGGAAATATTCAAATTCTTTTTTCGTTGACGGAATTATTTTAACATACGCCATTTTATTTTCCGTTACCTTCTTTCATTTATCGCATTTCGA